ATATATAAATTTAAAATATTTTGTAAAGATAATAATTGAAATATATTTTTTAAAATATATATTTAATTTTAACAAAATTTATAATAATTTTAAAATAATAATTAAATATGTATATTAAGGGATAAATTGTTAAAGTGAACATGTTTGAATTTGAAAAAAAAAGTTCATTTTAACATAAGAAGGAAGACTAATGTAATATTTACATTTTAAGAGAATTTTTTGAAAAGGATATTTTGGTGATAACATTTTTTATAATAGAAGTTAATAGAACTTTAACAAAAACTTTAAAAATAGGTAAAATGTCATATATTAGAATTTATCAAAAGAGAACTGTAATTCTTAACATAAAAAAATAATAATATAATATTCATATTTCTTAAAAGAGAAAAGTGTAATTTATTTTTCTTACTATTAAAGCTATATGTCTGGATAAAAGTTAAAAATGTAGATTTAGAAAATTTCTATACACCTAAATAAAAATACTTTTTTTATGAACATGATTTACGCGGACCACTTCCTCACTCTCGCCCGAATTTAGAACAACCCACAATGTCTATTCAGTTAAGTCAGCTACACCCCTTTAGTTTTTTCCCTTAATTTAATTGAGAATAAAACATTCAATTCCTTGTATGAAATTGTGACCTAAAAGACGTTAAAGTTACCCATGAAACAGTTAAAATTTGTTTGGATCAACTTGTTTATTAGAAAAACTCTTAAGTATAAACTAAAATTTTGGATAAATTAATAAAAAAAATCTATAAATCAGCTTAAACATAAAAAATTTAGTTTATGTAAAAGTTTTTTTAAATTTTTTTGTTAAAAAATATTTATAAAGAAGTTTATTAATGGGCAGGAAATAGTGAGTTGAAGTGTAAAAGGTAGGAAAAGTGAGATAGGAGGAGAGCATATAGGTGATAGCCATGACAGTGTCAGTGACATGAAATTTAGATCTTTAGCCTCTTGCGGTTCTGCCACAACACCGCCTGCTCAATGCATGTGAGCTAATAATTTACGTAACGTAAATGCAATGCAATGCATCACATTGACATGCGTCTCGTTTCTCGGGTGATTGACTATATTGGGTTAGTTCCCCAACTTAATTACGTAAATAGGGTTGTTTTTAAATAATATACACATTTGAGTACTTTTAACGGTGTCGTTATGACTCATAGCGATACTAGTGATACGTGACATTTTTGTAACTCCAGCGAAGCCATGAAAGTCATATTGATAATGTTGCTATAGCTTATAGCGACACAAAACAGCTTCACTGAAGTCACTATAGCTTACAGCGTCAAATATTTAATATAAAAAAAATAATTTTATTATAAGTAAATAATTTTTAAAAAAATAATTTGTGAAAGTGGTACTATGGCCTATAGCGACATTATGTCGCTATAGCCCATAGCGCCACCCAGTTAAAAATTAAAATCATAAAAAAAGAAAAAATATATATTATAACATAAAAAAAAATAGAAAAGATAATTATATAAATATAGATTTATATGAAAATCAGAAAATAAATTAAAATCTGGAAAAAATTAATTAAGTTAATAATTTAAAAAAAAAAGTCAAAAAAGAAGTGGCAGTGTCCATAGCTACACTGCTTTTAAATTTTTTTTTCATTTTTTTAATTACACATTTTTGGTTTAGTATTTTTTAATTAATATATAAAAATTATTAATACACTTAAACAATAAAAAGAAATAAAATTACCTAAACCATAAATATATAAAATAAAATTTATATTAAACAAATATATAAAAAAAACGTCAAAAAAGAAGTGGCAGTATCCATAGCAACACTACTTTTAAATTTCTTTTTCATCTTTTTTAATTACGCATTTTTTGTTTAGTATTTTTTAATTAACATATAAAAAAAATTATTAATACACTTAAACAATAAAAAAACATAAAATTACCTGAACCATAAATATATAAAATAAAATTTATATTAAACAAATAAAAAAAACGTTAAAAAAAGTGGTGTTATGTCGCTATAGGCCATAGCGCCACCCAGTTAAAAATTAAAAATGATAAAAAGAGAAAAAAAAATATATAACATAAAGAAAAAAAAATAGAAAAGATAATTATATAAATATAATTTTATATGACAATCAGAAAATAAATTAAAATCTGGAAAAAATTAATTAAGTTAATAATTTAAATAAATAAAAAAAGTGGCAGTGCCCATAGTGACACTGCTTTTATTTTTTTTTTCATTTTTTTTAATTATGCATTTTTGGTTTAGTATTTTTTAATTACATTTTTTACTTAATTTTATTTTTATAAATATATAATAAATACTTCAGTTTATTTTTTTATTTTACATTTCTATTATTTTTGTTTTTTTTTTATTTTTTTCTTTACAAAGTGTCGCTATGGACTACATCATTTTGCTTACTCCATCAACTGTGGTGATCCAGCCTATAACGACACTCATGTGGCTCATTCCAGCCCAACAAAGGCCAAAAACAAATGTCACGTGTCACTGGTGTCGCTATGACCCATAGCGACACCGTTATAAACAGCCCCAAAGGCGTAAATACTTTCAAAACAGCCTCATTTACATAATAAACTTTTAAAACAACCCCACTTTAGTCAAAAAGCCCTCGTTTCTTCTATTTCATGCCAAAACTCTACATTTTCCATTGATAACACCAAAACGGACGCAAATAAATTAACCCTAAAACCTCTAATAATTCATCTCTAGTCTCTACTGGCATAATGGTAACAAAGAAAGAAACATCCCAATAAACGTCACTCTTATATGTCATTTCTTCTCTCTTAATTATCTCTTATATTCTCAGCCTCTTTTATAAGATGTAATTACTTTATTTATTAAAATTAAATATTCTAGTTAATTTAATTGTTAATATTAAATTTATCTTAAATTTACATATATTTTTCAAAACTACCCTCATGCTAATGAGATTCTTACTCTACCTCTAAGGATTACTTAATGAAATAAGAAAAGTGTATTTAATTAAAAAAAGAATTTGTCAAAAAACAATTATTGAAGAGACATTTTAAATTGGATTTTATAAAAAGACGCAAACAATATTTAATTATTATTTAGATACTACAAAAATGACTTATTGATTTGTTGATAGCATAACAATTAATTAAAAACTTTTACGAGCATATGGGAAAACCACCCATTAACTTATTCGGAGCATATTTTTTTATAGATAAAGCACATAAAAGATTGATTATCACGGTATCGTATTATATCACATATTATATATGGAGATTTCTAATTATTGTTCAAATGAGAGGCCGACTTATATTCTAATATGGACAAATTCATCCTTTTACTTTAATTAAATTATCAATACATATTAAAAATATTATATTTTACATTCTTTAATTTTATAAATTTTTATATTTATATTTTATATTTATATTTATATCTATTTTATTATAAAGAAGATATTCTCTTTTTTTGTATATATAATTTTAGATTATTTTATTTTTAAAATTTTAAATAATAAAAAATAATATTAAAAATTAATTAAATTTAAAATTTGATCTTAAAACTTTGAAGTTCCAAAATAAAGTATAACATCAATTAATTGAATATATATTAATAATTTTTAAATATTTTTAAATAAATATAAAGATACAAAATGTTTCGATGTGATTAATATATAATAATAATTATTATTATTAATTTTAAAAATTATCTCATTGACTTATTAGGATATGAGATCCACCATATCTGGCTCAAATCATTATTCAATGGCCAACCAATTAAAACTCTCTCTCCTCTATGAAAAACACTAGTACAATGCTTTTTCTATGTTCATTTCCATTGACTTGCAAGTAGGGCCTTGGTAATGGAATATTAACTCTTTAGAGAAAAAAATTTATGAAAAAAAATGTATCTATTATGCTATAGAATATCTCTGTGAAATCGACAGAACAATTTTCTAAACGAGATCGCCTTCCACAAAAGCTTTTACAAACTTGTTTGTTATGTGTTTGTGTAGTTTTTTCTTTGTTCTGTCTAATATTTTGGAAGGCCATTTGGCGACCTTTGCTGCGGAATCCAACTCTAATATGAGTGATCTTTGATAATCGTTGGCTGACATACAATAGGTCATATTGGCCATGAATTAATGGTGTAATATCTATGGCGTTAATTTTGGTATTCCTGTATAGATCCAAAATACTTCATGCAACATCACATGTCACTTCCTTGGTTTGACGGTTAGATTGTGGCGTTATTTTAAAAATTGACGCAATCTAACTATTCTCCACCCCTACTTTTAAGAATATTTAGCAGCAATTTTGTGACCTGTGAGGTCCGAATGCATAGATAGAGAAGCACCGATAATTACGAAATTAACTTCACAGAAGATATTTAGCCTCTAGTGGTCCTGCCACTACACCGCGTGGGTGTCTCCATGTGACAATATATCTTTCGTCATAGAATCGTGGACTAATAATTTACGTAATGCTGTTTTCTATGACACATATCTCTTGTTCCTTCTCTTTCATGCGTATGGGATGCTAAAAGCCTAAAACCTCTAGATGGAGTTATTTCTATAAATGCAAATAAATTAACGTATGGTAACACCAATAATTGATCTGGCTGCTAGCTTAAAAACAACAACAACAAAGAAACGTATAGGGCCGGCCAGTAATAAATGTTAATTCTTAACTGTCATATAATATATATTCATTCATATGACATAATTTTTTGTTAATTAAACATTATTTTAATATGGATGATGATTCAACGTGAATTAGAATGTCTTCCAACCAAATGACTAAGAGCCTTAGTTAAATCTCGCATTTATTTGTTATAAATACAACTTGGTTCGGTCATCATATTCACACACACCCTTTTATTCATATCTCCTTAGCTCAAATCAATATTGAATGGCCAACAAAAACTCTCTCCCCCTCCATGAAAAAAACTGGTACAAGCACAATTATAAACGAGTAACGGATAGTTTGCTCTTAATCCTCCTCTTATTGCTGCTTGGTTACCGCGTTATCTCTTTCAACAGCTACTCTTTTCCTTGGTTTGTTGCCTTTTTGTGCCCTAGCGTAATTCTTTCCCTTGGTTTGTTGCCTTTTTGTGCGAAACATGGTTCACCATCTCTTGGTTTTTAACCCTCATCACTCAATGGAGTCCAGCTGTAGTCAAAACCTACCCTGATCGACTCTTGCAAAGGCATTTAATTCTTGAACTCGTAATATCTAGCTAGTTTCAATTTAATGCATTTCCAGTTAAATTATCATCATCTGTTGCTATTATATATTATCACCGAAAAATATTCATATACTAACAATCCGTTGTTAGCTAGGCTTATCCATGTTAATATAAAAGAATGGACTTCATCCAAAAGAAATGAAATTATTATCATATGATGGAATGTATATATCATTATGATACATTATTCCTTTAATATGAATTATTTTCATGAATAGGTCACAGTCTAAACTAATAGGAGACAAGCTAAAATATATGGAATTAATTAATTGTGGTTTTTTAGTGTATACTGTATTCATTGTTGTTGATTATTTTTATCCATGCATGCATTTGGTATTTGTTGCTGATTAGTGAGTTTTGTGAGCAGTGTGCGAGAGCTTCCAGCAGTGGACTTGTTTGTGACAACAGCAGATCCTGTGCTTGAACCACCGATTATCACAGTGAACACTGTGTTGTCTCTGTTGGCACTTGATTATCCAGCTAATAAACTTGCTTGTTATGTTTCTGATGATGGATGTTCCCCTCTTACCTTCTACGCTCTTCAGGAAGCTTCTAAATTTGCAAAGTTTTGGGTACCTTTCTGTAAGAAGTACGAGGTCCAAGTTAGAGCTCCATTCAGATACTTCTCCGACAAACTTGAGGTTTCCACGACCAACAACACACCAGAATTCAATCAAGAATGGTCACAAATGAAGGTAATTAGTTCCACAATAATAATACCATATCATAATGCGAGGTTTTAGATAAGCATTGAATGTGAGGACAAAGGACAAAAAAGGACAAAGAAATAGAAGCAGTCTATTTAAGTTTTGCGGTTAATTAATAATTTTGCTCAAATCCATTTCTACGACATGGATTTCCAATAGACGTGATTATCTGTAATTATGCATGAGTCAGAAAGTATATAGAATTCGATGGCATGTTTTATTTGTTGCTATTAGGAGAAGATGTCTCTTTTACTGTCCTGAGGAAAGTTATTCATCGGTAATGCGTGGAAGTACATTTGTTTTTGGCCGAAAGTCATGGCTTGTCCAATTACCTCGGACTTCATGTTAATAAAATACTCTTGTTCGCTGAAATTAATAATTTGAACTGCTCCCCAAATTATGAATAAGTAACTCTGGTATATATTATGTATATAAAGAAGGCAATTAGAATTAAATAGATGGAGAAAATTATGCAGTATTACTTGAGTTAAATATGATATTTTTATGGACAAAAAAATTACTAGAAAGATTTTATGTGAAAGTATTTGATTATGATTAAAATAAGATTTTTTTAATTACATGTACTAAAAAGATTAGTTTTAAATTTGAAAGACTAAAAATAAATTTATCTTAAATTTAAAAAATTAAAAATAAACTTATCTTAAATTTGAGAAACTAAAAATATATATAAATATTATTTTTAATTGTAATGATTGAATAAAACATAAAAGATCAAATTAAAATAAATAAATTTAAAAATAAAAATGTTATTTATTTTTAAATGTTAAAATATAATTATTGTGAGATATAGATGAAATATAAATATTAACACCATTAGGATTAGTTATTAATTGGGTGAAGAGGGACTCAGATAGTTAGAAGCGTAGAGACCTAAATTTAATCTTCATTTTGATTATCTTTATAATTTTTTTTATTTTTATCAAAAAAAATATATGAAGATTAAAATTAAAATCAATAAATAATAACTAAATTATTAATTTGACTCTGATCACAAACTTCAAAATGGTTTTGTCTGAATGTGTTGGCAGGATATGTATGATAATCTTAGCCGCAAAATCGAATTGGCATCCGGAGAATCGAATCCATGTCATGGGCAATTTCCGGCTTTCTCAAACACTGAAAGGACAAATCATCCATCCATAATTCAGGTATTCAAGTATTCAACCATATCAAACAAATTTTTTTCTTTCTATATTTATTAAACAGGTAAGAAGTAAAAACAAAACGCATTTAATATATATATATATATATATATATATATATATGGCTCACATTTATGATCATTGTAAGGTTATATGGGAGAACAAGGAACAACTTGCAGATGGATTGCCTCATTTGATCTACATATCTAGAGAGAAGAGGCCAAAACAGCCTCATCATTTCAAAGCCGGAGCCATGAATGTATTGGTCAGAAACTCACTTAGCTTCTTTTATTTCTCAAATTAAATCATGTGAATATTCTTACTTCATCAAACTACACTAGGTTAATTAGTTTAGTATACGTGTTAAAACTTCTAAAGTTATGTAATTCACATGGTTAGCTATTGTTGCATGCACTTGCATGTTCAGTTTGTGAATTCTTTCATGTCTGCCATGTTTAATTTTCAACACAAACTCCAAGCATCTTTTCGTTTTTATTTACTTCTTTAATTAATTCAACTTTGCCAATTATATAAATTTCAGACAAGAGTTTCCGGGTTGATAACCAACGCTCCATTTACGTTGAACGTGGATTGTGACATGATTGTAAACAATCCAACAGTTATTCTACATGCCTTGTGCATTTTGCTTGATCCCAAAGGTGAAAAAGAAGTTGCATTTGCTCAATTTCTCCAACAATTCTATGCTACATTGAAGGACGATCCTTTTGGAAACCAGATGGCAATTTTGTTTAAGGTGATTGTAATTATATATACAATCATTACTCATTTCACTCTTTGAAATAATTCCATCACTACAAGAAAATTGTCATATACTGATACGCATTATACAGTGACATAAAAATTATCATTAAAAATTACTTTTACCTACACAATAAATATAATATATGTTAGTATATTGTTAAAAAGTATAGATATAGATTATAGTGATACATAAAATATATTGTTAAATTTCATTTAAAATCAACACTAAAATTATGTGTAGTTATATGTCAGATAGATATATATCTACATGTATTATACTTAGTGACATTTTTTATATGTCATTATATGTAACATTTCTCCACAACTTACCATTTAATTTTAATACCTCAAGTTTTTAACTCAATTTCATTACTAATTCTAAAAAAAAAATTCCCTTTCTATATAATGCAGTTCATGGTAACAGGGTTAGCTGGACTCCAAGGGCCTTTCTACGGGGGAACAAATTGTTTCCATAGAAGAAAAGTTCTTTATGGTCTTTCTCCATATAACTCGGAAAAAGGTATGTCATTAGACAGATATATTTATGTTTTCAATTTTTCATTGATTTCTATTTTTGAAGATAGAGATAGCTATGGATAGGTATGTATGGGGTATTATAAGTTCCCAAATCTATATCTGTTTTTGAAAAAAGAATGCATATTAAGTTAAAATTGTAAAGGGAAACTTATATTCAATATTTTATTTGATATTTTATTAAATACTATTTTATGTTTTATCAACTATGAATATTAAGTATTTATAACGTTTCACCATCAATATATAAACGAAAATTTCATTCAATTTATCATTTAAAGTGACTAATAATAATATATAAGTTGGAAACAATCATCATCTTATAAGTTTAAGATTTTGTAAGATTAAATTAAGTTTTTAATCAAGTTTTCTAAGATGTTATTAGAGCATAAATTCTAACAATTATTAATTATGATTAAGTTTACCATATTATTCGTTATCAAGTCGTTATTGAGCTCACAAATATCTAATTTTACAAATTTCACATTTGATAAGTCCAATCCTGGATGTGAGAAAAGTTATTAGAGATAAGGTCATAATAACGGGTGAATGAGTAATTATCTTACAAACTAATTTTGTAAAATTAAGTTATACTTGTAATTCACTTTCTTAGTAATCCTATAAAACTAAAACTCAAGTGATAAATCTTTAATCTTTTAAATCATTGTAATATTACTTTAATCTCTCAATTATAAATATGTATATATATATATATATGACATTAATTAGGTAATTTAAAACTACTAATTTAGCATTTCAATAATAAAAAATTGAATATATTTCATCAATTTGATTATTAAAAAAAAATCAAACTTCATTTAGTTTTTCAATAGTAAAATAGTACATAAACATAAGTTGATTTGAATATAAAATAACCTAATTTAAGCATATTAAATTAATATCAAAATGCTTTCGACTTGAAAGATTAATATGAAAACAATTGTATTTTTTGAGTACTCTCCTTTGTAAACCATTAATTTCAGCATATCCGCACTAGGGCATAGCAAACAAATTTTTACACCTTCTAAACAATTTTCCAGGAAACAGCATATCAGAGAAGGAATTAAAACAAAAATTCGGAGCTTCAAAAGAGATTATGAATTCAGCTGCTTATGCTTTGGAAGGAAGGACAAATTCGCCAAATGATATTAATATTTCCAACGTTGTTGATGTAGCAAACCAAGTTGCTGCTTGTGGGTATGAATCTGGCACTGGATGGGGCAAACAGGTATTCATAACAACATTTTAGGGTTTTGGAAAGATAATTATTACTTTAAAATCAATATTCCAACTAAACATGAACAAGTCCTATTTAAGCTTAAAATTAATCAACAGCAATTTTAATTTGAAATTTGTTTTGCTATCTTTATGCAACCATACAATAATATAGAAACAGTTTTCTTTAATACGTGTTTGCGTGTATAAACTATAAACATATCTACTGAAAAGTTAGAGATGAAAAAAAAAATATTATTCAACTAAATATATACATGTATGGTTAAGATTATTTGGGATAATACTAATTATTCATTTTAGTTACACAATTAATATATAGTAGTTTTTTCACACTCTCAATTTCTCACCCAATATGATTTATTGGAACATATCTAGAAAATAAAAGATGAAAGAAAAAAATCTTTATTATTCAACTACAGTCAACATATGTGAGTGAGATAATATGAACTAATTTGTTTAAACTTTTTTCTTAAAATAAACATTTTCTTCAATAAAATAGACATTTTTCTATATATTTTTTAGTGCATTTGTCTACTTTTGTTAATAAGAAAATTCTATTTGCTTTTCAAATAAAAAAAAAATTAAAGAAGTTTTTTTTTATTAATCATTTTTTAAAAAAAAGTTTAAAGAAATGGTCTAATAATAATCATTCATTTTACTTAACGATTGATAAATAGTTCTTTTACACTCTCAATTTCACTTGATATGATTTACACACATATACACACATGCATAGAGAGACCAATGAAGAAGATATTTTTTTATATTCTTTGTTGTCAAATTGTATTGAAATTGAAGTAAACATGATTTTCTTGGAAAAAATTTTAGGTGGGTTGGATATATGGATCAGTAACAGAAGATGTCCTCACCGGGCTAACGATACACGAAAAAGGTTGGAGATCAGAATTGTGTACACCAAGCCCAATTCCGTTCACAGGTTTCGCTCCAGGAGGTGGCCCAACTACAATGACCCAACAAAAGAGATGGGCCACAGGATTGCTTGAAATCTTCTTTTGCAAGCATTCTCCTATTATTGGCACCCTTTTCCGTAAGCTTACTTTGAGACAATGTTTAGCATACATGTGGATTATCAATTGGGGCCTACAGCCTGTAGTTGAAGTATGTTATGCATGTCTCATTGCATATTGCATCGTCACCAACTCCAATTTTCTGCCACAGGTAAGCATAAATTTAAATATAAATGTATTGAAAACAAAACAAATTAACCAACAACAAGAACACACAAAAAAAAATACTACTAGTACCATTTGGTTTTGCAAGTAACTAGACAATATTTTCCTTGAATTTAATGCTTGTTATATTTTTGCATGGAAAACTACAAAATCATCTTATTTAATGAATTTTGTACATAATTTTTATTGAAATGCAAGAATGAAGAGCTATAATGTCATTTGTGCATAGTCTTACAACCTTGCATTTTGTTTAGATTTAACTTTATAGCAAGGTCAACATTATATTATGCTTATATTTATTTTTAATATTTCTAATATATATATATATATGAATGATAATTTTGTATTTGTTTAATTTAGGATCTGGGCATATGTATTCCTGTTGCTCTAGTCATAATTTACAAGGTATATACTATATCAGAATATTTGGTAGAAGGGTTATCAATTCGAGCATGGTGGAATAATCAAAGGATGTCAAGAATAACGTCTATAAATGCTGGTTTTTGTGCATTTCTTAGTGTCTTACTTAAGTTACTAAGAATATCTGAAACTGTATTTGAAATAACAAAGAAAGATTTACCTACAGCAAAAGATGTTGGAGATGATACGGATATCGGCAGATACACTTTCGACGAGTCTCTAATTTTTTTACCAGGCACTACTATTTTGTTGTTGCAATTGACAGGAATGATTATTAAGTTATTAGGATTGCAACCACCAATGCCAACTCAAAATGGGATTCATTGTGGATTAGGTGAAATTTTTTGTAGTGTTTATTTGATAATTTGTTATTGGCCTTTTCTGAGAGGATTATTTGAAACAGGAAAATATAGAATTCCCTTATCCACAATATACAAATCAATTATCTTAGTATGTCTCTTTCTACACCTATGTAGGAAGATCATTATTAGTTGATGAAGTATAGAAACTAGAATAAGATATGATTGATATAAGAAAATGTTTTGTTAATATTCAAATGGCATGACAAACAATTGTATTATTATGTTTTAAGATGTATTTTTAATGTGTTTATATGAATAAAATAAAATAAAAATACATATGATTTTTTTATATGTTTAGATAGTGTAACTATTAATATAAAATATTAATTTTTTTGTTTGTTTACAAATCATTGACTTAACAATGGAACTCACAAAGCATCATTAAATAACTTTTTTTTAACAAAGTCACTTTTTAAAAAATAAGAAAAACATAGGTTTTAAGAAAATTACATGTGTCATGTAGTAATTTGTAGGGCCTTAGTGTTGACATTGTGCGGTAGAAAAGCCTCAGTCGATTCCGAATCTACAACATCATGGAACTATATTTCTTTTGTGAAACTATTGCATAATAGTATTACACTATTACTGTTGACTATAAAATTAATTGTTAGCTTAGTATTGTTGATGCCACAAATCTTTATACAATTATCATTATAATTTAGTTTGTCAAAACTACTTAAAATACATTTATAAATACAGATGAGTCTATATATACAGTGGTGGCTCTAAACATCAACTAGTGAAACAACCATCCAAAACTTCATTATCGAAGTAGTATAAAAAATTATTATTTATTCTATATAATATAGAAAATATATAATTAAATTATTAAAATTTATTAGAAAAATAAAATAATTATGAACAACTAATCAATTTTTTTCACTAGCCAACAAAAATATATCAATAATTTTAAGAAAATAAATTGATAATATTGAATATAAAGAGGAACATTACTGACCTATTTCTCTTTTTTCTTTCTTGATGTGAACTTCCGTAACTATTAACACAAAATCATAAATAAGAATTATCTTTAATTTTATATTTTCCCTTTATCCCTGATTATTTGATTTTATTTTTATTTTTAAATTATGACCTATATTACTTTGACTCGAAATTAAATTATAAATCTCCACCTTTTCATCACAAGTTTCTTTTAATGTGTCATAATTATTGAATTATTTTCTATCGCATAATAATTTTTAATGGTAATTCATAGTCTCGTATGAATTAATATACCGTATGTTTAGTTATTTTTATGCAATTGTGTATTTAATTGATTGTATATTTACACTTTTAGGGACGATCTTGAATCCATCAAGTCTTCAAGTTTTAATGTTCAAAAATAGGACATTTTTCTAAGAGAAAATGCTTTTGAGAAATATAAATCAAACTAAATATAAGGCACAAATTGTTAGATGGACGATGTGTCATCAAACGAAGCATGTCGTCTAACTTCATAAAATCTTAAGTATATACCATTTTATAATGACTAGCAACTACTTGTTGCATGTCTAACTAATTTCTTAACAAATCGAACTAAGAAATTTTTTTGGAACTCACAAATCTATTAAAGTGAATGAAGTCATGTTTTGCACCAAAACCAAAGACAAACAAAACAAATCCGTAAAATCACAAAAAAAGTTAGCAAAAGTCGATGTAGAACCTGCTTCTCACTGACACAAGCTACAAATAGTTTGTTTGGTATCCTAAAGTCGATAAGTAACCTTTTTGATCAAATAAGAAGTGACAACTTGGTAAAATACATTTAATGCAAATATTTAATGCATCAACGAACAATTCCCACCTCAAAAAACCTAAAGCAAAGGCAGACAAAGTAAGCTTGTGAGAAATCCTCAAAGTTTTGCAATGGTTATTTCCATCCGAGTTATTATATAAGAAGTTTCTCGATCAAAAAGAAAAATGAAATTTTTTAAAAAAACTTTTGAAAGAACTTTTGTAAAAAATATTTTTCATCCATTCATTCTTTCTATAAAAACTTGTATTCTTAATTGGTTGTATCACATCTTGTTTGTAAGATGAAACAATATCTGTAAAACCTTACCCATATATAACTGTTGTTATAGGATTGAGCATGAAAAGACTTGCTTGTAAAAGAATATCTGTTTGAGTCTAAATAGGCTTGCTTGCAAAGTAATATTTGTTTGAACCTAGAGAGACTTGATTGTAAAAGAATACTTGGTGTTGAAGCTTCAAGAGGCCTTGTGTAAAAGGATACTTGGATAGATTGCTCAAAGAGATAATTTAAAGAATACTTAGATTTAAGTCAGAAGTGACTTCTTGAAATAATACTTGTATCTTGTTTAAGATAGTGGAACTCAATCTCATTAGATTAAAAATTGGATGTAGTCTCAGTAGTTGAAACGAACCAATATAAAAATATTGTGTGTTTCGTCTACCTCTTCTCTAGCACTCTTTTACGGTTAGCATTACTACTACTTAAAAAATTAAAACTTTTTGATCGACATTATTCAACCTCTCCCTTCTAGTGTCTATCTTTTCTCCACAATATATATAACATGCTAAAAAAATCATCTTATTAAATTGTCTAACTTGGTAGTATTTTTATCAATTAAAGAGTTAATTAGTATAGAAAAAAATCAAAATATTAGCTCTTTCTTTCTCTCTCTCTCTCTCTCTCTCTATATATATATATATATATATATATATATATATATATTTATATTAAATGTGAATTTTGTAAATCCAACCATTAGATTAGAAGTTCTTTACTCCTAGATCATGTGTACAAAATTTTATATTAATCCAAGATGATTTGATACTTCATTCTTATAAAACAAAATTGACGTAATATATACATTTCACAATATACCAAAATATGAACACTTTGATTACCTCCAAGTTGTTATTCAATTTTAACAAAATTTGATATAAATATATAAAGTGTTATAAGCTTTCAATCTAACGATTGGATTTACAAAATTTATATTTAATATAACGTTATCGAGCGGTGCAATACTTAGTAAAAGTTACATCGGTGTTATTATAACCCTCCTCATATATAAACTTCTTTTTGAATTATTAGTATATAATCATTCATATAACATAAAATGAGAACTAAATAAAATATAATTGACCAACATAGTGTACTAAACACAATGATAACTTGGAAGCTTAAAAGTTCGTCAAAGTATAAGTGAAATACAACTAGAAATTCTAAAACAAAAAGTAATAAAAGAGACTAATTAAAGATTTTCTACTATCTCATCAATATAATTGTATTGAGCATATTAACATTGTGCAAGGATCCTCTATAATGGTATAAGGTGGAGTAGGAGTTCGCCTAAGAAGCTCAATCTCAAGGTATCATAGTATATATAATGCATCTTCTCATCATAGTAATTTGAGGATGTGTCGAGTAAAAGAAGTCATCGCTCAATCTAAAAAGGTCATGTATGTTTTTCTTCACATCATTTTTAAAACATGTAAAATAACTTCATTATCATTGATGGAGGTAGAACTAGAGCCATGATTCACCTAAGAAGCTTAATTTGAATGCTCCATAAAATACAATGCATCTTCTCATCATAATAATTCGAGGACATGTGTAGCCAATGAAGTTATCACTCAATCCAAGGAGACCATGCATGTTTTCCTTCACATCATTTTTAAAATTGATAAATTAACTCCATTATCACTCATAAAGGTAGAACCAGTGTCCTCTATAGATGTGTCTTCTTATGGGACTTGTTGTTTGATCTTATTTGCATGTTTTTTATATCTTTCCTACAAAATAAGGTCAAATATTATTTTTTTACAATTAATAATACAAAATAAACTTTAAATTATAGTAAAAAAATGAATAATTAAGACCAAAGTTAATCAAGGATCTCATAGTGAGAGAAAAACAAAAAGAAGAAAAAAGTGTTTCTAAAACTACCTAAGACCAAGTTAAAGAATAAGGTAAAATTAACTTTCAAAAAATAAAGATAAGATGAGACTCAATCTAAAACACCAAGTCACTTAAACTAATTTAAGTTAAAAACAATTTTGATAAGTCACTAAAATAATTTTCTATAATTTTAAATAAACATATTTACCTTTTGAAATATTCACTCAAAAGTTCAATAATTCTCCAATATTTTAAAAGATTCAAAAAAAAGTTTTAAGAGAAATGTATAATTTTTTGGATTATCATTTTTTATATAATGTGTTAAATCTAATGTAGTAAGTTATATGAATCACCCCCTAAATTAATATATTATCTTTGTTTAATTAAGTAGTTGTTATATTTAATATCAATTATAAATAAATGCCTAGGAAATAGAGTTGACAATTAATTAAAGATATGTAAGATATTTATTCTCGAGTAATTTTAAAAATTAATAATTTTTACTTATAATTTCACTTGCAATAAGTCTTCTAATAATAAAAAGGCATTAAAAAAATAAATGAATTTTGTAAAATATTTTAATAAATTTCACACACATATACTCATCCAACAATTTCACACAAACTCTTTGAAATTTCATGTGACTTTTTTTTTTCTTTCCTTTTCCTCATTTTTTTTCTTTTATCTTTCTTGTTTCTTTTTCTTTCTTCTCTTTCTTTTCCTCATTTTTTTGTTTTATCTTTCTTGTTTCTTTTTCTTTCTTCTCTTTCTCCTTTTTGTCTGGATGTCTTGCCCTCTTTCTTTTTAACATTTCTCTTCTTCCCTTTTTACTCCATTTTTTTCCTATCGATATTTCAATGCTGACATAAAATTACGTATTAAATATTAAAAATAATATTAAATTTTTTTTAAATATTATCTATTGTTAAATTATTTTAATTATCAAATATTTAAAATTTAACTAATGTTTGTTTTAATTAAAATTTAATATTAAAATTCCAAATTTGTAAACATATATTAAAGAATAAATTTTTTATATTGGAAAAATTAAATTGTCTTGTCTAAGAGAGTTGAAGAAATAGTATGTACATGATTTTATGTTTTATAATTTTTATAAATAAATAAAAATTATCTTGCCTAAATTATGTATTTGATATTTAAAAAATTTAAATTAACTTACCAAATTAAAATAACTATAAAATGAAGAAACTTTAAAGCAAAACAATTTATATTTCAAGAATTTCAAATTTTAAAATTTATCATCTAATATCAACTAAAATTTAACCCATAAGCTTATTTGTATGTTTAGTGCTACCACTTAATAAATATTATAATTTTGAACATATAATTAAAATCGAAGAACATAAATAAAAAGATGACATTACGTAGTGTGTTAATATAGTTTTAAATATTTGAAAATATAAAGAAATGTTATTTAAAAATAATGAAATTAGAATCAATTATTTCTAAAAGATGAAAATAAAAAATTAGTTACACTTTTTTATTTTATATTATTTTTTGTTAATCATTATAAAATTGAATGTTTTTAAAATAATTATGTTATCCTTTGAAATGTTATATATCCATATTTATTTTATTTTTAATGATACAAATCAATTAAAATCTAAATTGCAAAATTTTAGTTATAATTTTTATAAAAAAAAACCTAAAATATCATTGTATTTTTACAAGCTCACAAAACTTTTTTCACATTAAAATATTATTTTAAAATATGCACTCCCCTTTTCGAATTTTGTTAGTAGAAATGTTTACATTTAATATAGTAACTCTTTCCTTTGGAAAAAAAAACTCTTACGAGATTTGTTTTTTTATGTGAAAACAACAATAATAAATTAATCTAATCTAATCCGTAAAAAAAACAACAAAGCTATTTTTAACAACCATAATAGGAATTTAAATGTAGCAATATATTAAAATCGATTAAAGTTAAAGTCCAATTTATCGGTATAGTGAAATGTAGGGATGACAAAGTGAGTCGTGGTCCGTGGGCTGGCCTGTTAGCCTGTCAAAAATTGGCGGGTTGGGCCCATCATTTCAACCTGTCAACCTGCCAAACTTGTCCTGTCAAGCCCACCAACCTGCCAGGCTAAATAACGAGCCGACTCACATATTTTTTATTTTTTAGTTTAATTATTTTTATTTATTTTATTTTGATATATAAGATGAGGATGAAGATGAGGAAGGAAAAAAAAAAAAAAGTAGAGTACTGAAATGGAATAGCTTGTACATTTAAACTGCAAAACAGTAACAATGACAGAAATGAAATCTTTGAATAAAGAAAGGGAACAAAATAAATTATAGATGGAGAAAAGGAAAGCCAGAAGGAGAAACAGCTAGTGCCAACTGACAACCTCTTCTCAATCTTCCACTTGACATTTCCCCATTCCCACAACACAACACCCATCATTTGCTTTCTCTCTCTAGATTTGAGTTATTGTTGTGTCTGCCATGGCATTGGCTATGAACCAATCAAGGGCTGTGTTGTTAAGGGTGAGTTTGGTGGTGGTGGCTCTCTGCATAGCAGGCTACATAGTGGGGCCCCCTCTCTACTGGCACTTCGTTGAAGGCTTGGCTGCCCTCAAACACTCTTCCTCTGCTTGTGCTCCCTGCATCTGTGATTGCTCTTCCCAACCCATCCTTTCCATTCCCCAAGGTCTCTCAGATCTCAATTACCCTTCTCAACATCTTGTTAAAAAATTTATCTTTTCTCAACTGGGTCAGTTTTTTTAGATCTGGGTTCTGTTGGTATTTTATGTTTTTTTAATCATGTAAACCGGGTATTAGTTAGTGGAGAAAACTTGAATAGAGTTTGTTCTTGTGTTAATTTCGATCAAAATTGGAGTTTTATCCAAGTAATTTATGTTAATCTTTCTTGTGCAAATTCAGTAGTGAAACTCCAAATTTGATCGACATTGTTTTGCTAGGGTTTTTGGTTTTTGCTGTGAGACTAAAGTTGACTAGGGTAAAGTTACATCTCGCAAGCTTTTGTGTTAGTCGCTTGAGGGGATTGGTTGATGCAGTTCTTAGAGGAAAGAAAATGGTAGAGTTGGAAGAAACTTATAAGGAAATAACTTGAATTTTAAAACGAATGTTGTCACTGTCGGTGTCTAACAAGAAACTTGATCTTCCTCCACCCCTTCCCCCTTCAATTCAAGTTATGCTTTACCGAAGTTTCAAATTTGATATTAAAAAGATTTTATAAATATAAGTAATTTCCGATTATTCATTTAACTAAAAGCAGTTAAAAATTACTGCCATGTCGATCTGCACATTCACAGCCAAATGTATGAGTGGTAGTTATCTCAGCGTAACCTTTTGTATACTCAGTTTAAACAAATATGAAACAAAGCAACATAACCGTAGATACTACTGTATTATATTATTTCCTTTTGGTTATCACTAATAAATTGACAAATCAATAATCACGTAACATAGGACAGCAGTTCTTGTTTCAGTTGAATGTTGTCTTGGTTTTATCATACTGTACTGCTACCTTCTTTTCATCTATCTGCAAATAGAGCATGGACTTATTTCAGTTTCTTTCTGTGTTTCTGCAGGGCTGAGCAACTCTTCCTTTGGAGGTTGGTATTATCTCCTAGATGAACTACTGTAAATTATCTAAATAACCCATTTTGTTCTTGTTATACTTTTTTCTATGTAACACATTCTTGTATTGTATGATGGTCGGACTGTAGTAGTTAAAGTCACATTGTTATTTAACTTTAAGCAGTAAGATAGCTAGTCATTTCTCCGTATATGGGATCATCAGTTAGGATCATAAATCTCATGGGTCTTTTGTATGTTTTCCTTTTTGATCGTAGAAAACAAACAAAAACAGTTAATTCCTGGCCTATTTTCATGTTAAAAAAAACCATTTACCATTGACTATGCGTGATTGTGTGTTGCAGCTTTTTGTTTTATGTCAACCCTGTATTCATGTCAACTTGCTAGATAAAATTTTGGTTCTTGTGTTTCAAAATGTTGCTTTGAGGCAACTTACACTCTATTGTGTTTAAATTAAGGTATCAAACTAATAAGAATGCCTATATCCTTCTTGTGATGTACTAAACTTGCTTGGATTACACGTTTCTTCATGGTTCAAGTGTGCTGTTGCCCACTTTAAATATGGATTTAACAAATTTTAATGTTGTTCTGTACAAAGCCTCTGCTAGGAAACAACATGAAAGCTCAAGAACAGAAAAATAATTCTGCCTTATGTTGCATTGTAGCAAAACCTGAGACATGTTTGGATAAACTTCTCTAAGAACACTTTGAGGAGAAAAAAAATAGGAAGAAAAAATGAAATAAATTTTTTATAAACTAAAATTAGCTTATACATAAATTAATTTGTAGAAGTTTTTCCATATTAGCTTATCCAAAAGCTAATTTTTTAACTTAGCATAAATTAGTTAGTTTATGTAAAAGTTTTTTTTTCTTCTTTTTTTCGTGCATCTGAATAAGTTTATCCAAATAAACTCATTGTTTTATTTATGCTTGTTTTGGATTCAACTAACATTACCAACTGCTGTTTCTTTTCTTGCTTGAAACCGTTGTTCAGATTGTGCAAAGGCTGATCCAGAAGTGGGTGGAGACACTGAAAAGAACTTTGCAGAGCTATTGACAGAAGAACTAAAGCTACGTGAGAATCAAGCCGTGGAAAATCAGCGACACGCTGACATGGCACTACTTGAGGCGAAGAAGATTGCATCTCAGTATCAGAAGGAAGCAGACAAGTGTAACTCAGGGATGGAAACCTGTGAGGAGGCGAGAGAGAAGGCTGAGTTGGCATTAGTTGCGCAGAAGAAGCTAACGGCTCTGTGGGAACTCAGAGCTCGTCAGAAAGGGTGGAAGGAAGGGCTTGCCAAATCTCATACACACTCTCAAGGGAAGGTACAGAGTTCTTAGATACTAAGTGGCATGGTCTCCATGCAGGTGAGTGGTTGCATAATAGTTTTCAAACAAGTGAGTTTTAGTGCTGGTAATAGCAAATTATGATTGCTCTCATGTGTTCATGAAAGATCAAGTGTAAAATATGAATGTTGTTGTATTTCTATCATTCAATTTTGAGTATTGATTCCACGTGTATCACCGTTAAAAGCTAGCAATTGTTACAAGTTTGGATAAACTTTTACATAAGTAATATTTAATGACTATCTTTTTGTTATTATCATCATTAGTTTTGGCTTCAGATCTGAACCAAGTTTCAGACCCTTGCTTCTTCATTGTGTTTAATGAACTTTAGGTTTGATTGACAAGGATAAAAGGAGAATCACCTCGACCATCAACTATAGGCATGTTTGTATTTTCGCTCCCTTGAATGAAAAAGCCTTTTGGGAGATAGCTTTTCCGTTGAACGGACATTTGGAATTTAGAAATGACTTTAACCAAACAGAATATAAATTAATTTTGGTCAATCTTTAAAGTATGGTGATTCAGTTCTTGGAACTTGGTTAATTTACGAAAGAATTCATGAACAATTTTTTTGGTACTATCCATTAAACTTTTCTATTACTGATCAAACAGAACAAGTCGTACTGTATAATTAGTTAATTACCTACCCATTTTAATTTACACTCGCAACAATGATTTTAATTTACCCAACCTTTTTTTTATGTATACATAAGGGGCTTAACAATGATTTTGATATACCTAGTGCTTAAGTGAGTGTAGAAAGATATCCAAGATAACTTTCCATAAATAATTTTCGTAGCTAAAACCAAGTGTACTATGTGGTACAGGGTAAAGTTAATTTATAATGAAATAAGTAGTAAACTAGTAAGTTTATATATGTTTAGATATATTTAGGAAAAGTTACCAAATTTTGCTTCTTGAAAAATATATTGCTTGTTTTAGATTAATAAAAACATATATAAAGGTTTGCTCAAAGAATTTGGTCAGGCAACAATGCACCCAATACTTGCATTTATCTAGGCACCTGGCTTCTCTCTTAAGATCAAGGTTTGCACAAAGAGTTTAGATAACGTGCCCTCCACTAAGTCATATCACAAAGCAGATTAAAATGAGCCAACAAAAGGAGCTTTTTTTTTTTTTTTCTTTTTTTACTATTCAGGACATATTTTTTCTTCAAAATTATCAAAATGAGTAATCTTAAAAAAAAATGGATAAGTCTTATTTGTAAAAAATTTCTAGAGTGAAAAATCGGATTTCATAAACACAACTTCCACTTTTCTTTTCTTGAATTAAAGTTGTTTTTCAAAACGATTTTTTAATTTTACAAAAAAAAAATTATTTTAACATAAAAATAAATACATAAAGGCAGAACGTGTTTAACATACACGACTTTGTAATTTTTAAAATATAAAACATATAAGTAGAAATCACGTTTGTAAATACAATCTCATCAACAAGTCATGTTTGCTAAACGCAACTTATTTCCTTCTCGAATTCTTTTTAGTTACCCATTTCATGTTGTAAAAAAAACGACACATTGCATCATGCAGCAACTGAAACCTGATAGTTGTAGTGAGATTTATGCAACTAAGGGCCTTTTTAAAATAATTAATCTCATAGATTTAACAAATATACTTATTTACAATATTCAAACACAATTCGACCAATAATTATATCTTGATCAAATTGATAAGCAATGAGTCTAACAACAGTAAGTGAAATATTTGAATTACCTAATTATTTATCAATTCAATGAATGATTAAGAGAGCATTTGAAAAAGCTTGTCACTTGAAAAACTTAAGAAAATAGGTTATAGCTTGCAAGTTTTTTCAGTTTATTTTTATAAGTTTTTTAAATAGCTCATCAAAAGTGTTTTTAAAATTCAATAATTTTATGGTAAAATCACAATATATATATATATATATATATATATGAGATTAACTATCTAATATGAAAACATTTTCAAGAACGTTTCTTTAACAATAACTTTTTTAAACACATGATTTATCATATTTATTTTTAAATTAAATTTTAATATTTTTAACATATATTGTAAAATTAAATATAATCTTGTATTACAATATAAATTATTTAGCATAAGTATAAAATATAATTTATGTATTTGAAGATAATTTATACAAATTTTAATCATAATATAATTTATATATATAATTTGTTATAAAATTTAGTTATACGTAATAAATACCTAATCTAGGCGACACACAAGCTAGAATATTTATCTATCTAAATCCATCCTAAATGAAGCAAATAAATAATTGATTTAACTATTATTAATTACCAACAAATGTGATTATTTCAGTTTCATAGTTAATAGAAAATGGGGATAAGGGGAAGTGAGCTTCAACAATCAGTAGTCACGCATCCATCAATCTGAGACTTTATTTATACTAACACACTAGAAATTCTCGTTAAAGCCTGAGCATTAGACACACATGAAACGAGCTGGAGTGGAGAATAAAATTAGAGCACTACATGCGTTGAAGGTTGAATACTTTCATATGTATGGAAAGACAAAACATCATGATAGGTCTGACATTTTCTTAACGAGTGTTAAACCACCATAACCTAACTCATAGGCAACCTCCAACAAGAAGAGACTTGTTACTCACTCCGATGCTTTCTTGGACGTATTTCACCAGTAAAAAAGTCCCCATCTGAAAATTATAACATAAATAAGCGTGTAACATGTCTGGATGAATGAAGGCCAAAATATCAATGGATATTTGAGGTATTTATTTGTAATGGACATATTGGGGTCCAACCTGTGGACTCAGTTTTCTATCAAGGTTTTACTGCCAAATTCGCTATCTACAATCCTCTAATGATATATTAACTGCTATCCTAAAAATGATTGAGAAAGTTCATTAGCCGATGTTTATGAATAAAATTAGGCGAAAAACCTTCAAGTGTGTTAATCTAATTCTAAAGGATTTTGGGGGAAATTATCAAATAAAACAACATCGGAACAAGCAAGGGAAACCAATGAAATGAACAATCAATACCATTTTCACATTAATAGTACCTAAAGAGAAATAGTAAAGAGCACATACCAAACCATTTTTTGACTCCTGAGCTGAAATAATGGAGCGAAGTATCTAAACTGTTCCCCTTATAGAGTCAGCAACATGTGGAAGGCGTATGGCTAGATCATCCAAGTCGGGGCAGCTTTGAATGCTCAATCCTTTCTCGTTTGCCAAATGCAATAGACATATGAAGCACAAATGAGGAGAGATGTCACTAATGGTTGCAGCAGCATTGCATTCGCTAGGTAAGTTGGCCAATATATTCTTGAAAGATATGGTATCTTTTTGATCCTTTAGAATAAAGAAAGGGACAAAAAAAAAACAAAATGTAAGAATTAGTGCTTATAATTCAACCGCAAAGAGAATAATAACCTGAAATTATTTACTTAGACTTGTAACGGCAAGGAAAAAATAGTGTTAGCGATGGAATGGAATCCTAAAGAAAAATTGAAATAGCACATATCGTGAAGAAAACTCATTATAAGTTGTAAGTTGAGAGGAGCATTTCATTTTAGTGGGGGAAACCCAAAAGTAGACAACAAATATTATGTACTTGACACTTTCTAAGAAATGGAGAAATCTTGACATACCTGTAAAGGAAGTTTAACAGATTCTTGAACATGGTCCCAAAGAGTAAATTTTAGTGCCTGAACATCAACTTGTTTGGAAGTCTTGTCATACTGGACTTCAATTTTATTGACCTGTGTCATTTGAAAGTATGCATATAGTTGAGTTCTAACTGCAATATTTTCGACTGAAAATTAATGTTCAAGGATTATGTGTAACCGTTATTCTTTCATTAGTTTATCTTAAAACATCATATTATTAGCGAGTGTGTAAATTGTTACTAAAACCCACCTGACGAGGCTGATTAATAAGATTGTTGGAGTCCTCCATGTCACTATGAAGATCACCTTCGTAGCCACCAGAGTCATCCCCACAAACACTTCCATTATCCCATGAAGGGACCGATTCATATTCATTGTATTGTTCTCTAGATCCATCTGCAAGAAAAACCGGAACTTGAAATTCAATCTTGTGACAGCTGAAAACATGCTAAAATGTTCTCTATTTCTTTTAATATATGTATGTATAGAGAGAGAGGATCTCGTTAGTCGTTACACTAAGTTTGACAGTGGTGTAATTTTAGAGAGACACGGTCAAATTACATCAATGTCAAACTTGGTAAAATGACACATTTAATAACTTCATAGAAGTTATAATTTTATCAATGCAACTATTGTGCTGATAGATAGTCTTATGAAATAGAATAATTTACAACTTCTCGTACATGATAAAAATTAACCCATACTCCATATATATATTGAAATCACAACTGCACATTTTACCTGAGAACTTGTTTGCCCTTCTCCCGAGACACTAAAAAAAAATAGAAATCGTCAGAGATGTGAAATAAGCACCGCCTCCATACCAATGACAACACTGAAATTTATATCTCAAAGAAACTACCTTCACATTAGACAGAAGAAATAACATGACGAGATTCTCTGGCTGATAGTGGCAGTCCTCAGGTAGTTTTGTATTGCAAGGCAATCTGCTTTCAGGGAGTAGTAACAATTTGGGATTCTTGGGAGGAGAAAAAATATCGAGCATTTTTTTCTCAAGAGAATTTGTGAAATTTAAATCAACTTCAGCCTGTCTCTTACTCTTTGTCTGCCTACTTTTTAGGGTCGACCCATCTTCAGAAGTAGGATGAACCTCTGAGACTACAAAAAAGATTCTAAAATAATTACCATACTGAATTCTTAAAAACATAAAACTATTAAAATCTTAATCTGGCCTTCAAACCCCACCTTTGGATTTTCGAAACTTCCAATGATCAGGACCTGCCCATGCATTTTGTTTTGAAGAAAAGCCCAAACTCAAAAACAAATAGCCGTCAACATTTTCAAATCTTTCATCCATATCACCGTCTGGGGAAGAAAATGGCTCATTGTCCTACAAGATTTGGAATGCTATTAAAACAATTGCATCTTTCACTTAATAAAATATTTGAAGAGTATTTTTAAAAGCTCATTTAAGAAAGTCATATATGTTTCTCAAAAAAGAAAAAATTAAAAAAAAACCTGAGGGTAACTGGGAAAACTTGGATCTGCGTCATTACAGCCTAGATCGGGAACATCTGTTTGGTCATCATGATCATCACCCCAGGCCGTGCAGTTCTCATCATGATCATCATGATCAAAACCATTTACATCATTGAAAGCAGCATCATGATCTTCAGCTGCATCCTGGCTATGAAGTTGAAAATCAATGGGCCTTCTGTTGTTTTCATCGAATTGGTTTACTATAGTCCTGAGAGTTGGAGAAATTTCATCCTTCACACGCAAGTCCAACACCATCTGCTCGATACAATCTATAAAGAAAAGTAAGCCATCATTGTCCACATTGAACATTTGCAGATGAAACAATAGTTTCACCATATTATTCGAAAAGCAACACACCTCTGACAAAAGAAAGATCAATAGTATCTGAAATATCAGATTGATTTTGGCTTCCCATATACTTCGCAGGCACTTCTAGTGAATCAAAGAGTACCCTACATCCACCATATACACCGAGATTATTCATTAAAAGCCCTTTGGCTCCACCTTCATCAAATTTTGCGGTTGTCTGGCGATAGAGAGGATCCACGACAAATGCAGCTGAAAAAAACACAAAAACCGTACTCATTTTCAGCACAACCTCAGCCCCACGCCTCAAACAAGTAACAGATAGTATAGGATTTTGAGATCACCATCAAACTTCTTTGCATTAAGTCCCTCAAAAGATGATTCCAATGTTGTCAAAGGTGACAACTGCATGAAAAAAAACAACTCTTAAACCTCGGCAAAATGTTTAATCAACCAAATCCAGTGATCCAAAGACCACAGACAACAGACCTTTTTGTTCGGTTCTTTCCTGCTTTCTTCCTGCCCACTTTCAATATTATCACCCTCCAAGGTAGTGTCTGTCATCATGGCATAGCATTAGAATTAATTAAGAACAAAATATTACAAAACAAATGTAAATGTACCACGCTAAGAATTTGAAGCCAATCAGACCCTCATTAATCATTACTTCATTAGTTACCAAGCATCAGTTAGAATTAGAGCACTAGTACGATAAAGAAGCAAAAACAATCCCACATAACCTCTACCCACAAAGCAATCACCAAGGAAGCTCATTACAAACGCAATTTTCATTTTTCAAAATAAAAAAGAAAAAGAAAATAATAAGAGTATAAAAGTTGCACTATGCTTGATAAAATGGTATATAAATTGCAACCTTGCTCAGCTTCTTGGCCTGCTCTATTCATCCCACCAAGAACTTTATACGCCTCGGAATGCACCGAGTCCACCCTTAATGAATAAATTTTGACTCCAGCCTCGAGGGTGCAACTTGCCTGCCCAAACAAAATTTCAATGAATATCTACAATCTAGTAGTCCACACAAACATAGCTTTGCTTCTAGAGCCATTGCAGTGAGATTGATAGTAGTACATTCACTCATGTAAGTTCATTTGGGCAATTCATATCAAAGGAGCAACTCTTCTACATAACTTTGTGATGGACAAGGTTTTAAATTGCAGTCACCGTTGCCATCTAAATGCAACCCTAAATAACAAAAATCTCATAAATTATCCAACTGAAAATTAATCCCAAGTCCTAACACACCTTTTGAAAATTAGTCTCGGCATCATTTTCTTCTTCGGCCTTGATGATATCGGTGAGATGGTCAATCAGGTTCAACTCCCACGTGTTTTTCTGATTAATTTTCTGCACACACAAAAAATAAAAAATAAAAAACAAGACAAAAGGGGAATTTAATTCTTTAATTATTGTACTTTACGTTTTCGCTGGCGAGTTTGATGCAGTTTTGGAACAGGTCGAGGATCTGTTGTTTGTTGAGGCAGGGATCGGAATTGGCCTGAAGAGGTTGGTTGAGGGCGAGGCTCCGGCGGCGAATGGCGGCGGCGCGGGCGGCGCGTGCCTGGGCGCGTTCGAGCTGGTCGTCGTTGGAGCCCAGGAAGAAGGGGCTGGTGGGGGATTGGATGCGGAGCCTCTGCTTGGGACCCACCGTGGGGTTGGGGCTTAGGGCTTCCGCCATGGGAACGGTGATAGGGTTTGGTTCGGAATCACAGAGAATTGGGAGAAACAACGGAATGGGAGTAGTTTCCCTCCACTTTTGTAATTTGAATTCGTGCTTGGTTTCGAATTGTATTTTTCTTTTTTTTTACATGAAAAAATAAATAAAAACGAACTCTCTTATGAAATTATCGTTTTTCGGTATTTTAATATTATTTTTCTTTTTCTTTTAAACACAGAAAACGAAAACTTACATACATTAGTCAAATTAGTGAAATTGAGATATTTTATATCTTTATATTTTATTTTTTAAAAATATTTAAAAATTAATTATTAATATTTATTAGATCAATTGATGTTATGTTTAATTTTTAACTCCAAAGTCTTAAATTTGAGTTTTAATATTATTTTTAATTATTTAAAATTTTAAAGATAAAATCATCTTAAAAAAATAAGTATAAGATCCTTAATCAAGTATTTTAATTTGCAAAAATGATATAAAGATGTCTAGCCTAAATAATTAATTCGACACAAAATGTAACTTTTTTTTTTTGTGGAAGATGCTTAATATTTATAATACTTTGATAGTAAAAAGTCAAGATAATGTTAATTAACAAATTAATATGATTTGTGACGTTTAATAAGAGAAATAGAGGTGATCAACATTTAAGCTCTTTAAGTATTTCAATATGCATATTACATAAGTTATTTTTTTTGTGTTTAATTTTTTTTCATCACTTTATTTATTATGAAAAAATATATTATTAATGATAAAAATAGATACAAATATAATTTATATTATACAAATTGTATAATTTTTGTTATAGTGTAACATTACTCATGTCATAATACATAAATTAATAGTATGTTTACCGTATATATTGAATATTTAATCATGTAATTAAAATTTATAATAAGTGTTTTTGATATATAATTAATATTTTAGTATGTATATTACATTAGGCAAATATTTAATTTTATATAATTGAGAGTTATAATTACTTTTTTATAAAAATATATTTGAATTTATGGTAATAATTTAAATCATAAATAATGTTAATTATAATTAAAACAAATATTTTGTTATTGATGATAATTAAAAGCTTAAATTAAAGAAAAGTATGACCTTATGTAAAGTTAGAGTCAACCACAAATAGATAGTTTATTTGAAAAAAAAATATACGAATCATATTGAAAATATTTAAATTTTCTCTTCTTCCTCCCCTTCAAATCCTTCCCCCACCCCTTAGATATTGGCAAAGAGCTAAAATTAGATTATAAAAGACTTGAATCTTATCCATTCCCTTTTTCTCCATCCTTGAAATTGAACCAAACATTACAAGTTTATAAAAGTTTCTCCTCTTCTCTCATTTATCTTTCATTTTCATTCAACAAACACTTATCGAAGTATCAAGCATGCTTTCTTTTAGCATTATGAGTATATTTCAATACAAAAATGGAAAAATAAAATAAAATTAACATCTTTATAAAATAAAATTAGTTGATGCTTAGGTTAAAAATAAGCTTTTGGTTACATAAAAAATTATATGAAAAAACTTATAAAAATTAGCTTATGTTGAAATTAATTTAATTTTTCCTTCTTGTTTTTATGTTTTTGATAAATTTATCAAAAAAGACCCTATATTTTGTCATCCTTTGGTGATTGAAGGGATTATTACCCTTCTCTTGCCAAATAAGACTTTAATAGTCATACATAGACATGTATAATACACTTTATTATGACAATAATAACAATTAATAAACACATATATAGTTTGGAAAAAGATAGATACTCCGAAAAAAAGTTTCAAAAATTATTCTGAATAAATAAAATATTAATTTAAATTATAAAATATTAAATTAAATAATTAGTTTATACTAAATTTATTATAAAATATTAATATTTTATTATTTCAGAACGTGATTCGGAGATGGTTTTCGGAGGATGAAGCATTGCTCATACAGTTTTAGGATTCTTATAGTTAGCACTAACCAAGTCACACTAAGTAGGGCAAACCATATGCTTAAGTGATGCTTAACACCTCTACATAGGGGTTCCATACATATTCTTCAGAGGTCTTCATGCTTAACACATAAAGATTGCACTTTCCACCACTTTAGCAAGTAGCAAAATTCATAATACCATTGATAGGAAACTTGTTTAAGGCCACAAATGGATTTATTTAATTTGTACACCTTTTTTTTGTTGCATCACATAAATTGTTTCACCAATGTTGCCATTTAGAAACACAATTTTTACATTTATTTATTTTGATACAACTTTAAATCAAAATGAGCTTTCAGTGTCATTATACTTCTAAAAGAATCTTTCAAATAAACCAATTTTGAGTGAAGCCTTTTGATGAGTCTCCAATGAAGAATGATGGCCAAATTCCTCATTATAGCTCATTGAATCCACTTGATCCTTTCTTAATGATTTCTAGTTGATTTTGACCGAATAAGATGGATAGAAGAAGAGTGAATTGGCGTGCCAAGTCTCCTAGAAAAAAGATAGGTAAGCAAGTGCGCTATTCCACAAGGAAGGTTTCCTTGTTGGAAATGTTTAAGGAAAATGATTCTCCAATGAGACATTTGAGAGAGAAAGGAGAGAGTTCTAAAAAAATAGAATGCTCATATACTCAAAAGTGTCAAATTTACAGAGGAATGTGCCTTATATAGATGGTAGAAGCTTGTAGGAAAAACTAGCTTAACCAAGGTTCAAAAATGAACCATGATCACCTAACTAGAGTAGGTTGGTGCGCCAATTTTAATTTGAAATTCAAATTGGTGTGTGAACCTAGGTGCCTCTATGCGCTCCCATGTGTAACTAGATCTAGTCATTTACATGTCATATGAAACACATTTGGATTTGAATTTGTGTAGCACATGTGGGTTAATCCACATGGTCATCTACATGACTACCAATTCAAATTCAAATATGTTTTTATAGTCCAAATGATGAATAAAATAATTCCTATGGCCCAAATAAACCTATATTACTTGGCCCAATAAATATAAGGCCAAACAAGCTATACTATTAGGCCCAATAAATGTAAGGCCCAACAAGCTATACTACTAGGCCCAATAAATACAAGACCCATAAATAAAAAAAGGTATTGGGTTTTAAGTAATAGTCTAACTCAAGAGGAGCTTATGTTCACTAACCTCAGAACAAACCCAATCCTCTTGCATCCTCCTAGTCATGACCCTAGTGGTGGGTTCATTGGTTATGCCTATGCTATCACCAAAGTGACAAAACAAGTTTTACATCTCTCAAACATTGTCATTTTAATCTCTTTTGCTTTAAACATCTATTTGTAACCAACGAGCTTTAGAACCTTTAGGTAACTTTATGAGATCATGAACATTATTATCAACCATCAATTTTATTTCATCATTCATGGTATCAATCCACTTTTAGGAGTTAAAAATATGCATTCATTTACTAAAGTTAATTGGATCTTCCTCAATCAAGTCAATGTCATTTTCATGTTTTTTAAGAAAACACAACACACATTTAATAATAGTAAATTACACTTTTCCTCTATTTAGTTGATATTATTAATGACATATTTTTAGGTTGTTGAGTTTAAACTATAGGTGATACTTAAAGAGGAAATTCAGTGTTGTCTTGACCTTTAAATAAAGTAAAAAAATGATAGCTTGAACATCATAGTTTATTATCAAAATCATTTTTTGAACAATGATTGGTGCCAAAACTTGATCATTATTCATTATTAATAGCAAAACCTTATTTAGAAATAATCTTCCTTATTTTTCTTCCCCTCTAAACTTAACTTCCTTATGAAATCTTGAATCCTTATCTTAAAGAAAGGGTATTGTAATGAAATTATAAAATTTTTGCATGTGATAACATTCATTCAATATTTCAGGCTTGCTTTAGTTGGATATCCCCTAATAAACATGTGTCTAGTGTTTGACTTTTTACTAGTCCATTACTCATAAGGGGTCTTAATGACTATTTTACTTGATACCCTATTGATGGTAAAAAAATTGTGATCTTTAATGCCTTTCTCCAAATTGTCTTTGGCTAAGAATAATGGTCAATCATACTTTTTATTATGTCCTTGAGAGTTTGGTTTTGTTGTTCTTCAACTTCATGTTAGGTTTCCTAACATGGTGTATTGCGAAACAATTATACACTAATTGAGGAAAAATGCAAAGGGGCTTGTATGTTGTACTGTTTTTATCCTTTATACTTACCATAATGCTCACCATCACGATCAAAGTTTACACCCTTGATTTTGTCCAAGTTGAACTTAAACTTAAGCTTTAAAACATTTAAAAATGTCCAAAGATCAAGACTTATTATGAATCAAGTACAAGTAATTATACCTTGATTATTGTTTGCAAACATAATGAAACATCTTTGTCCGTTACATGGATTAATATGGAACACACTACAAATATCCTTATGTTAGTTCTAAGACATCATTTACTCATATGCACTTAAACTCATTTTGTTTATTTGTTTATTATTAACACACTCAATATAAATTTGAAAATTTGACAAATTAAGTCTATAAGAATTTTCTCTTACACGAGCCTTTGGATTATTTGTTAAAAAATATGGTCTAACCACTTATGCAATTCTCATTTAATTTATGTTCTGTTCATGATGATCATTTTTTTTTTTAATATCTTCTTATAGGAAAATTCAACATGTAGCACATAAAGATTATCAATTTGTTTGTCTACTTACACCCATTTGTTTTGTTTTTTTTAAAGGAAGTATTTTAACAAACTATACCTTTAATGATTACTTTAAACTCAACATTTTTTAAGGAATGAAATCACTTTTTTTTTATCTATCAAAATTATAATGACAACACAAAAGTTCGATAAGACTCTATGCATAATTATTCTACATAATGAAATCATGTTAACTCAATGTAATGAGATTTTTTTTAATAGTATAATTAAGAGGTATAACTAATATTTTTAAACATAAATTGATCGTTGAGTCGATTAAGACAATGATTTAAAGTTCAATAGTTCTACCGTGATTGAATTGTTATTGAATTAATAAAATAATAATTATAATTAAATGATTCATAAAATAATATTGAATAATTATAATATCATAATTTTATAACAGCAAAAATCAAAATAAAACATCATTTTAAGAGTTTTTTACATTATAATTATAACGAGTTCAAACCAAATATAACATAATATTTATTTTTAAATTATAATAAAAATATAGCAATGTTCATTAACAATAATAAGTTTACAACTAGAATAAAAATGTCAAATTAATATAATATAATATTATAAAAAATAAGATATAAAAATATGTAAATTAATATAATGATTAAATTATATTATTATACAAAATATTAAAAATTATCGATAAAATAATTTATTTCAATTTATAATCTTATTAAATATATGTTTTTAATTGTTCTTAAAAAAATTAAATTAAATTTAGAAAAAAAAAATTGCATAGTATGATTCAAATCAATTTTTTTTACATTGGTTGGTTTGAACTAGTCCAATTAGTTCTTAACCACTTTGAAACACTTATTTTAAGATGCCTTAGTTTTTGTTAGTTAACTGGTCATCCAATCCATTCTTAGTTGAATTGTTCAAACCAACTAATTAGATTTTCAAAACAATTAGTATAAGTTTCCTATTTCATGGTTAATTAATTGTAGGGATAGAGTGATATATGTGACTCCATATCTAAATGATAAATCATTTATGCTAACAATTTTTGATACTCAATTTAATAAGATAAGTAATGTGATAAATGAATAAAATCTTATAAATATATCAAGCAATTATTTAAAATAAGATTAAATAGTATATTTTTCCTAATATTTTGTCTTAAGTAGTTTTTGAGATAATGTTTTGTCATCCTTCAATTACAACATAATAGTTAGAATAAAATTAATATTGAACATGTGAATTAACTTGTATAAGATTATTTCAAAAAAAAATTTCAATGGACATGATCCATACTATATTACAAAATTGACAACTTAAAGATTAAATTATAATCATTTTAAATATTCAACTTGGGTATTTATAGGTGATTCCTTATTTTGGTATACACATTATTTTGATAGTTTTAATCTTTTATAAAAACTGCATGAATCGCATGATAATAATTAATATAATTAATAAAAGACAAAAAATTTTCTTGTATTGAAGTTTCATTCTTGAAATTATTGATAATTGCACACTTACCCCATTAACATGCGTGTATTCAAAGGAAGATACCATGAAGACACAAAGTGTCTTCTTTTTTGCTAGTAATTATTATTTTAAAAAAAAGGTGTGATTTATACCAAATAAAAAGTGTAAATGATCAATTAGTTCTTGAAAATTGTATGTCACTCTCAATTTAGTCCATACTTCAAATGAAACTAAAAAAAAAAAACTTTGTAAATGTAATCTATCACTCATTTAAGTCCCTATGTTAAATAAGATCTACTTGCTTAAACAGAAGTACATATGTGACATGATAATGTCATGCGACATACACGTGATACGTATATAGAGTGACATGTGTCATTTGAGTGTGTCATGTAGCATATATGTATCAGGTAACATATCACTACTATACTAATTGATTTTAATCTTTAAAATTTTAACACAATGTCAATTTAGTCCATAAAATACAACTCAATATCACTTTAGTCCTTAAAATTGTAACTCAATGTCATTTTAGTCATTAAAATTTTAACTCGATGTCACTTTAGTTTCCAAACTTATCATAATTTTATTTTAATCAAGTAATCATGACTTGAATATTTTCACAATAAAATAAATAAATAAATTAATATTGTAAATAAGATGATAAATATATTTAAACCATATTAAAGTTTTGATATTTGACATTAGTATAAACTTTTATATATAAAACACGAATCACTATATTACATGAGAGAAATTTTAGAGGATTTTTCTTAGATGAGAGTGTTTTTATGAATTCTTTTAATTTCATATATAATTTGATTTTTATTTTTCATAAATATTTATGAGTTATATTATATATTTTTTTAAAATAAATTATTGTTTAATAAAAATAATATTGTGTTACAATATAAAATTATTTATCATAAATCTTAAAGATAATTTACATATTTAAAAATATCCGTTTTATTCAATTTTTATATATAATTTATATATTCAAAAATAATATTTACTTATATACATAAATTATTTTAAATTTTAATTATATATAGTAAACATTTAACATGTGCATATATTGCACATGCTAAAATACTAGTTTTTTCATTTTTTTATATATATGTTATATCTCTTTTTCTTATTGTCTATTTTCTCCTCTCTTTTATCAATTTCATTTTTAAAATACATAAATAAAAATAATTTATAATTTCTCAATATTTATATTTTATTTTCGTAATTAATTCTCTTATATAATTTAATATTATTTATAGAAAGATTAATATATTTAAGGACATTTTAAAAGTGGTACATACAACATAATATTTATTTTCATTTTGAATTTTTTTTAGTTGTTTAGTTTGATGGTCCATTAGTATAATTTAATTAAAAATTTCACTATATTTATGATATTAATTGAATTATCTATTTTATTGTATAAATATTCAAGTTATAATTAATTAATTAAAATAAAATGATAATATTTAGAGACTAAAATAATATTAAGTTAAAATTTTAGAGATTAAAATAACATTGAATTATATTTTCAGAAACTAAAGTGATATTATATTATAATTTTAAAAATTAAAATGATACTATATTATAATTTTAAAAATTAAAATAATATTATATTATAATAATATGTGACTTGTTACATATACATCATGTGACTTGTTACATATACATCATGTGACACACTTATATAACTTATGCCACTATATATGCATGTAACATCACATTATTATGTCATGCATACATTTTCATTTAAGAAAATAGATGTTATTTAATGGAGGAGTCAAATGACTGCCAGGTTATATTTTTAGAGACTCTTTTTTAAGTGTTATTAGAATGAGAATGACATTGATCATTTACTCCATTAAAATAAAAGTGACAAGGGCAAGAGGGTAATTTCAAAAAAGACTCTTTACGCATATTCGAGTCTTGTTTGTTTGGGTTCTCTCTTTCCTGTTCCATTCCTATTTTATTTTTTATTTCTCCTCTTTTCAGGTTTGGCTGGCGGCACCTCCAAATCGGACTCTTCTTTCAATCTTTTCCAATTCCCTGTTTTTCAATTTCCAACATAACACCTTCCTCACAAGTTTCCCAAAACACATATAACTAGGAAAGCGTTTCTTAACCTTTGCAACTACGTGCTTTCAATTCAAAAGAACAAAAAGCCCCCTTTTCCTCCCGTCATCAATAATCGCCTCAAGCTTCGATTTTGACGTTCTGGGGTTGCTTAGATTCGAATCGGGTATCGAGAATGTTCAACGGTATGATGGATCCCGATTTGATGAGAATCGCTCAGGAACAGATGAGTCGCATGTCACCCGCTGAGTTGGCTCGGATCCAGCAACAGGTATGTCTTTTCTCGGTTTATTCTTGTCTCTGCAATTGTGTTTTTGGATTTGTCGCATTGTGTTGAGCCTTCGAGTTGCAATGTCAGAGTGAACGCTAATTTGTTGAGAATTCAACCTTCTAGGATGCCCTTTTTATAGGAGAAAAAAAAGGATACAAATTCCGTGGCCTTGGTTAATGAAATTCTTCTCTTGGGGGTGGGTTTGAAACTTTAAAGCTTTTAATAATTTTGATTTGGCTATGTCAAACCATTCTTCACCGCGGAACACGTGGATCAACTAGCACTCGATTGTTCTTACAACTTATCTAGTGATCTTGAGTTTTAGATTTGGATATACAATTAAGAGAGAGTTTTGTGATCAATTATCCGGTTCGATCAAGGTTGCCTCGTGGAAATGTCTTTGTTTTCTGGAGATTTGAATTGAAATGTTAGGTTAAGAAGTGTTGGTATCTAGGATAAGTGTGTTGGTTTTGGTTTTTGATGAGGTTATGTGGTTTGGGCTTTGATGTTCAGTCTTGGTGTATAGTATTAAGGTTAATTAATTGTGGTGGTGTGCAATGTTTATGTGGGATTGCAGATGATGTCTAATCCAGAGCTGATGAGGATGGCCTCGGAGAGCATGAAGAACATGAGCGCTGAGGACTTTAAGCTTGCTGCTGAACAGTTAAAGCATACCCGTCCAGAAGAAATGGCTGAGATTGGTGAAAAGATGGCTAATGCATCCCCTGATGAAGTGGCTGCAATGCGTGCCCGTGTTGATGCTCAGGTCAAATATCAGTTGAGTGCGGCTGAGATGTTGAAGAAACAGGTGAGTCTTATAGCTAGAATTTCAACTGGTAGTGCCTTAAGGAAAATACTTTTCCAGAATTACTTAGGCTTTGAGAAAGATACATAAACAAAATTACATTAGGATAATACTTTTGTTCCATGGAATGGCTGATCAGAAAATACCCTTGCTGCTATTGTGTAACAAGACATGGATGTTTCTGTGTCTACTACCCTAATAACTTGCTACATTTTTCAGTTTCTGTAAGAATTTATTCAGTGTCTTTGATGAACTAGAATTAAATCTTGCAGGGAAATGAATTTCATAGTCAAGGAAGGTACAATGATGCTCTGAAAAAGTATATGCTTGTAAGTGATTTTTTCGTGGCTGTTTTACAGTCTCTGCCACACCTTTTCTCTTATTTAGAATTGAGACTCGGGAGTTTTTTTTGGTCTATTACATTACCTTTTTTTTTTTTTTTTAATTTTTTTTCTAGGCTAAGGAAAACATTAAAGAGATCCCATCTTTTCAAAGTAGAAAGCTTCTTTTGGCATGCTCTCTCAACTTGATGTCCTGTTACTTGAAGACAAGGCAATATGATGAATGCATAAAGGAAGGTTCTGAGGTATTTGTAATTCCTTTTCTTTTACCATTGGAATATGATGTTAATTGTGAAATGTAATAGCCAAATGCAATATTTAAGTAGTGGTATTATGAGGAAATTTATCGGTTTAAGATTGGAAATAAAAATTACATTATAATTGTTTTATATGAGAAAATAATTGCTCTCTTCTGTCTTGCTTTTATAATAATGTAAATATGGTCTTAAATTGTAATTTGCTATTATTTTAGGTTCCTTGTTTTAAAATTGGTTGTTTCATGATCCTAGCAGTGCATTAATTGCTTTAACTATGATAGGTTTTGGCATATGATGCGAAGAACCTTAAGGCTCTATATCGAAGAGGTCAAGCATATAAGGAACTAGGTTTACTAAAAGTGAGCTTCTTGTGACTCAATTAACATTATGACATTAAGGTTGACATTGTGTTTTCTTTATATTTATATTTAATGGCATTCCT